GTTTAAAAGTTAGACCAAAATATTTCGTTTTTAAAAATTAATATTTTGTTAATCCGAAAGTGACGTGTCCATAATTGACATAAGCCCTATTTCAAATATCAACCTAATGTTTATAGGAGAGAATTCCATTTACGGCATACGGTTTGATGGTGGGTATATAAGATTCGGTAAAATTTGTTTGTTAGTCTGAAAGTCTCTGTTATTATTTCTTATCCTACTTTGAGATATCTTAACAAAAAATTCAGTAGGTACAGCTTAACCCTTTAGAAATATATAAAATGGGTTTAAGGCCATATTTTAATTATTTGGTAAGGTTTAATTATTTAGTTTATCGCTAGGGCATAAAAAGTGTTAGTATATCTTCAATCAGTTTAAGCATGGGATTGATATGACCTAATATAAGGTTTGCATCAGCGAAAACCGCTTACGACAAAACTAATGTTTAACAACAAATGCAAAATGTTCCATATTAATTTACCATATATAATTTATTTAAATGCAATTATGTATAATTAACTCCAGTAAACTGCCTTAAAAACTTTCCTTATGAGAAAAATCCATATGTTCTAAATGAAACTTAAGTTGCAGCAATTGGAAAATTATATTGTAATTTTCTAATGCAAACAGAAAAAGCATAATTTGCCAGCATAAATAGTTGATGACACAAATTTAATTATACTCCCACTTTAGTAAATCACACATTCTCTTAAGAAAAACTTTGGTACCCTACATTTTTTTATACTCTACAAATAAGTTGAATGACTGAATCTGAATTTGTGATGTGTGTTTTAGTTTATTTGTTTTTAAAGGGTCTTTGACATTTGTTTGCTACAAGTTTTTTTAAATTGTTTTGAAATCACACACACACATCTATTGTGAGCTAAAAAATTGTGACATCGCAATTGCAACATAGTTTTTCTATTAAATTAACATTTAAATAAAAAAAAAAACAAAAACAAAATAATGTTGCAATTCAGAGCACATTTTCCATGTATTATTGAGTTCATAACTCAATATTGAATGCGGCAGGCACACCCTCCATTGACAAGAGTGGGTGTTGAAAAATAATTTGCAAATTTAAATTTTATTTTATTTTTATACAAATCTATTTGTTACAAAAAACAAACAATAGTTTTTTTTTAAATGTAGATTTAATCAAATATTGGTTTAATAAAGTTGCATTAATATGCAATAAATTTTCCTTTTTTGAATACATTTTTATCATAAATACATTATTTTAAATAGTGAGATTTGTTATAAACACATTTTAAGATATTTTTTATTGTTTTGCAGAATTTTTAAATTTATATTCATTGCAAATATGTATTCATATTAAAACAAATAATAGAACCAGATCATAAATATTTTGGAATAATTGTTCTGTCTACACATGTTGAGTATTTATTCATTTTGAAAGCTATAAAAGAAATCTTTTAAAGATTGTCTCACTCACCTCTCACTTGCCGCCAAGTTGGCTATTGTTTTTGCTTAAAAATATTTTCACTTTACACGTGTTATTTCGAAGAAATCTGTTAAAAAATTAGAAAATCTCGAATTTTAATGCCTCAATCATCAAAAAATTAATCAAAAATAAAACCGAAATAACCTATTCAATGAAAAATTTAAAAGTTTTGTTCGGGTAAACTCAATGTCATACATAACGGCAGACGAGTCAAAAGGAGATATTTCCTGGAAATAAAATACTGCAGTACCCCTTGATCCATAGACTACTAGTTAATGAACTAGTTTATAAACTAGACAACAGATTAGTCTGTAGTCTAGTCCGTGGGCCAAGTCAAGGTATATCATTAGCTGGACTAGTCAAAGAGACTATACAAGAGACTACTCATTAGTAGTTAGTAGTTAGTAGTGTTAGTTAGTAGTTAGTGAGTTAGTTAGTTGTTAGTTAGTAGTTAGTTAGTTAGTTTAGTTAGAGTTAGTTACGTTAGTTAGTTATTTAGTTAGTAGTTAGTTAGTTCGTTAGTTTAGTTAGTTAGTTAGTTAGTTCGTTAGTTAGTTAGTTAGTTAGTAGTAGTTAGTTAGTTAGTAGTTAGTTAGTTAGTTAGTTAGTTAGTAGTTAGTTAGTTAGTTAGTTAGTTAGTTAGTTAGTTAGTTAGTTAGTTAGTTAGTTAGTTAGTTAGTTAGTTAGTTAGTTAGTTAGTTAGTTAGTTAGTTAGTAGTTAGTTAGTTAGTAGTTAGTAGTTAGTTAGTTAGTTAGTTAGTTAGTTAGTTAGTTAGTTAGTTAGTAGTTAGTTAGTTAGTTAGTTAGTTAGTTAGTTAGTTAGTTAGTTAGTAGTTAGTTAGTTAGTTAGTTAGTTAGTAGTTAGTTAGTTAGTTAGTTAGTTAGTTAGTTAGTTAGTTAGTTAGTTAGTTAGTTAGTAGTTAGTTAGGTAGTTAGTAGTTAGTTAGTTAGTTAGTTAGTTAGTTAGTTAGTTAGTAGTTAGTTAGTTAGTTAGTTAGTTAGTTAGTTAGTTAGTTAGTTAGTCGTTAGTTAGTTAGTTAGTTAGTTAGTTAGTTGTTAGTTAGTTAGTTAGTTATGTTAGGTAGTTAGTTAGTTAGTTAGTTAGTTAGTTAGTTAGTTAGTTAGTTCGTTAGTTAGTTAGTTAGTTAGTTAGTTAGTTAGTTAGTTAGTTAGTTAGTTAGTTAGTAGTAGTTGTAGTTAGTTAGTTAGTTAGTTAGTTAGTTAGTTAGTTAGTTAGTTAGTTAGTTAGTTAGTTAGTTTAGTTAGTTAGTTAGTTAGTAGTTAGTTAGTTCGTTAGTTAGTAGTAGTTAGTTAGTAGTTAGTTAGTTAGTTAGTTAGTTAGTTAGTTAGTTAGTTAGTTAGTTTAGTTAGTTAGTTAGTAGTAGTTTAGTTAGTTAGTTAGTTAGTTAGTTAGTAGTTTAGTTTAGTTAGTTAGTTAGTTTAGTTAGTTAGTTAGGTTAGTTAGTTAGTTAGTTAGTGTTAGTTAGTAGTTAGTTAGTTAGTTAGTTAGTTAGTTAGTTAGTAGTTAGTTAGTTAGTTAGTTAGTTAGTTAGTAGTTAGTTAGAGTTAGTTAGTAGTAGTAGTAGTTAGTTAGTTAGTTTAGTTAGTTAGTAGTTAGTTAGTTAGTTAGTAGTAGTTAGTTAGTTAGTTAGTAGTTAGTTAGTAGTTTAGTTATAGTTAGTAGTAGTTAGTTAGTTAGTAGTTAGTTAGTTAGTTAGTTAGTAGTTAGTTAGTTAGTAGTTAGTTAGTTAGTTAGTTAGTTAGTTAGTAGTTAGTTAGTTAGTTAGTTAGTTAGTTAGTTAGTTAGTTAGTTAGTTAGTTAGTTAGTTAGTTAGTTAGTTAGTTAGTAGTAGTTAGTTAGTTAGTTAGTTAGTTAGTTAGTTAGTTAGTTAGTTAGTTAGTTAGTTAGTTAGTTAGTTAGTTAGTTAGTTAGTTAGTTAGTTGTTAGTTAGTTAGTTAGTTAGTTAGTGTTAGTTAGTTAGTTAGTTAGTTAGTTAGTTAGTTAGTAGTTAGTTAGTTAGTTAGTAGTTAGTTAGTTAGTAGTTAGTTAGTAGTTAGTTAGTTAGTTAGTTAGTTAGTTAGTTAGTAGTTAGTTAGTTAGTTAGTTAGTTAGTTAGTTAGTTAGTTAGTTAGTTAGTTAGTTAGTTAGTTAGTTAGTTAGTTAGTTAGTTAGTTAGTTAGTTAGTTAGTAGTTAGTTAGTTAGTTAGTTAGTTAGTAGTTAGTTAGTTAGTTAGTTAGTTAGTTAGTTAGTTAGTTAGTTAGTTAGTTAGTTAGTTAGTTAGTTAGTTAGTTAGTTAGTTAGTTAATGAATTAATTAATTAAAACAATTTAAAGTTTTTTGTAAAAAATTATACGCATTTTTCAAAAATATATGGAAAAACTGAGATTTGAACAACTTAAGGACCTAGAAAAAATATTTTTAATTTCTAACCAAGAAAGTGCTAATTTTTTTTTATCAATGCCTTCTGTAATTAAGAATGTGGTATCTCTCCTTTAATAACAAAATTCCGGTTGAATAATTTTTTTCTAGCAATTTTTTGCATTTTTACCTCAACGGATTAAAATTTTATTAATTAAACATTCAAAAAATCAGTTTGATTAAAACAAACTTTTTTACCAAAATAACACGACATTTTTATGGCCCCTACAAGCAGTTTAAATTGAGATATTGCCTGAAAATTTATGTTTATAAAATTTTTAATGGAAAAAATCAATGATAGCCTTCGAGGCATTCGTGTTCAATTAGTTTTGCTTTAAAAACAAATTAAAATTTTTTTAATAAAAAATTTATGAAAAAAATCTAACAAAGATTTTGTTACATTAAAAACAGAATTTTTGAAAATAAATTAAAATCACACAATTTTACAAAAAAAAATCGCTTTAATTGAAGAAAAAAATCACAAACAAATTAAATTGATAACGAAATTTGAAAACTCAAAAACGCTTCCCTCATGACATTGTATGAATTTAATTTAAGAAATATTACGAATAAACGGTTGAATGCTTTCAACAATTGTGTCATGTTTTTAAAATTTTACCCATAAAATTAATACAAAATTTACGACATTTTTCAGAATTGAGTTAATTGTGTGAGTTTGTTTTAAATGTGAAAATAAAAAAAAAATATTTTAAATACAAAGAGTGCATGTACTAAACAATTATTTAAGATATAAAAATTTTTCGTGTTTTTTGATGATGATGATGAAAAGATGATTTAATTTTAGTGATTAACTACATTTAAATGGAATGTTTTTGAGGCATGGGGCCAAGTCGGCAGGTGGTAATTGAAATGAAACTCAATTATTTTAAACATGACATCTTTAGCTCACTTGCTTAATAATAATATGTATTAATAGGAATTGTTTAAAAACTATAATTTATTAAAACGTATTTTATAAATCTAAGTTACACCCCCTTTCTGAATCATCTAGATGTTACTCATGATATCAATATAAATCGTTTTTAATTATAGATTATATTTTATTATTAAATTACTTATACGTTGTGTAATTAATATCTTTGTAATTAAATTTCTAGCCGAAGCTGTTTTAAAATGTTGGCGCTGTTCAACAGATGTTTCGAATGGTGAATTTTGTAATGATCCCTTTGATCCGTATTCGATAACAGATCAACAGCGTTACTGGAGTTATGTAAATTGCACTTACTCGGTGGGTGTCAAGTCGGTTAATGCCCGTCCAGTTTGCAAAAAATTGGTACAAGAAGGTGAGTTGTTGCATCATTTATTAATTATTGTTATGGGAAAATATTTAGTTTGGAAATAATTTATTAATTACTCAAAGGTGCGACTTGTTTATAGAGGAATTATCTATAAATGTAATTTACATCTTTGAATATTTTTTTACAAATGTTCACTTTTTTAAATTTATTACACTTGAGTAAATTTTTAATTCACTTTAAGGGTTCTCCACTATCGATTTATCAAAATTCCAATGAATTAACATAAATTTTACTAAACTATAAAATTGTATTAAATTTCACAGCATTTTTTCCATCAGTATTCTTTTTCCATTCGTTGCAACCACATACAATAAGATTTGATTTATTTTGTTTGAAAATTGCAAGTAAGTTTTTTATATATAAAATTGCCAACAGGTGAATAACTGACATAAGCACGATTTATAATGAATTATATGACCAGATAACTGTCAAAATTCTAAGCTGATGTTTTTGTGGTAACACGGACGGAGCAAGTGGTGATGTGGGCGCTGGTAAAGTTTTGGTTTATGTCTTAGTTTTTGACACAATTGTTAAGCACGCACTTGTTAAATGCAAATTTATGACATCTGGTCCGAGATGTTAAGAAAACAAGCTGCAACAGTGTCCAAAAAAAACTGTACAAAAGTCAACAACAATTTTTACTACATACTTTACGCCAAATGTTGCAAATAGAATTTCTATATATAAATTGCAACAAATTAGCGCCACATGCAAGTTGCACACACACAAACCGCCGCTAGTTGGTGACTGTGAGTGAGTGTCATGGCACTCATTTGTGTTTCGAATTTGATACACTCTAAACAAAGGTGTTACCCTAGACAAACACACGCCGCGATTTCTACAGATAAATTTAGCCCCAATTTGCATCAAAACAGAGGGGGGTGTTGGTCATCATACATGTAAAAATTAAACAATTCTTCAGAAATGAAAAAGTATGTTATTTAAGCTATGAATTTTGCATGAGCCATAAATTTAAATAAACTTGACTGACACTCCAGCATGCAACCGTGTAACGTCACACACAGTCCGAATACCCCAAGACTTTAATGCGCAATTAATAAATAAATATAAAATATAGTAAAAATTCACCTAAAATATATATTTTCCAAATTATTTTCAAATACCATAAATATTAATTTTTTGAGTTAATTAAATTATTTAACTTAAAACTGTAGCGGCTTTTTTAAACTTTTTAATACATTTTCGAAATCAAATATTTAATAATAATATTTTCCTAGTAAAAACGTTAAATTAATTAAAAAATATAGATTTTTCTTAAATAAACAGCAAATATTCCAATCACGTTTCATATCTGCCAACTTTATTATTAACAAAATTTAACAAGTTTGATACGAAAAAACTGAAACAGACAACAACTACTACAACATAAAAAAGATACATATTTAAACCATAAACAATTTTTGTTCCTAAATACCAAATGGATAGAAATTAAATGACGAAAATAAAATAAAAAAGTTGTAGCAGTAAAATTGCATTGCAATTGATTTCAATCAAATGAAATACATCCAGTCAAATATACGAGACTGACTGCAACAACTAAAACGACTACAGCAACAACACAACTACATACATAGTATATAAACCATTATAAGTAATAGCAACAACATAAAATATATAGATAAATAGTTGTTGCTTGTTGTTGTGACCATAAATTGCAACCGGCATAAACCAAAATATTCCCCAAATTATGGTTTCAAAAAACAAACAGTAACGAACGAACGGGCGGACAGACAGACAAACGGACAAGTTTACGCATTTTGTCAAATATTTTCTTCTAATTATATAGGGTAAGGGTTAAAAGTAATTTCTAGACTATAGACTAGACAAGACTAGACTACACAATACTAGACTATAGACAGACTATAGACTAGACTATAGACTAGACTATAGACTAGACTAAAGACTAGACTATAGACTAGACTATAGACTAGACTATAGACTAGACTATAGACTAGACTATAGACTAGACTATAGACTAGACTATAGACTAGACTATAGACTAGACTATAGACTAGACTATAGACTAGACTATAGACTAGACTATAGACTAGACTATAGACTAGACTATAGACTAGACTATAGACTAGACTATAGACTAGACTATAGACTAGACTATAGACTAGACTATAGACTAGACTATAGACTAGACTATAGACTAGACTATAGACTAGACTATAGACTAGACTATAGACTAGACTATAGACTAGACTATAGACTAGACTATAGACTAGACTATAGACTAGACTATAGACTAGACTATAGACTAGACTATAGACTATAGACTAGACTATAGACTAGACTATAGACTAAGACTATAGACTAGACTATAGACTAAGACTATAGACTAGACTATAGACTAGACTATAGACTAGACTATAGACTAGACTATAGACTAGGACTATAGACTATTCTATAGACTAGAACTAGACTATAGACCAGACTATAGGCTAGACTATAGACTAGACTATAGACTAGACTATAGACTAGACTATAGACTAGACTATAGACTAGACTATAGACTAGACTATAGACTAGGACTATAGACTAGACAAGACTAGACTAGACTAGACTAACAACTAGACTAGACTAGACTAGACTAGACTAGACTAGACATAGACTAGACTTGACAATAGACTAGACTTGACAATAGACTAGCACTAGACAATAGACTAGACTTGACAATATACTAGACTATACACTAGACAATAGACTACACTATAGACTACACTATAGACTACACTAGAGACACATATAAGACTACACTATAGACTACACTATAGACTACACTATAGACTACACTATACTACACTACAGACTAGACTATAGACTAATCCATTCGAGAGAATGGACTTCATAATATGCACACTAGAAAATACACAATTGTCTAGTAATCAGGCTGCTATTATGACTTTGAAAAAATCATTAACTACTATACATATGATATAAATATTTACAAAATTTTTCCCCTTAACCAATTACATATAACATGATTTGAAATTTTAATGTTGACAAAAGATCATTGTACCTCAATTAACTACAATCGAACAACAGCCAGCGCATTCTGTGTGTCACTCATTCTTCATTTATTTACTCAGTCACTCAATTCAACCCAAAAAAAGATACAGATTCCTCCATTATTGGAGGCCTCCAAAAATACCCACTTAACGGCTGTTGCAATGATGCAATCATTCTTTAGCTACGAGTAGTTCAGGCCAATTCTACTTCAACATGTTTAGAATTCATAATGCATCAGCAAGAGCAAGCAACAACAGCAATGTAACGTATAAATCTTAAATTAAAGCCAAATGAAGACCAATAACAGCAAATAAATACAACAAAATCAAACAGAAAAAAATCAGTAATTAATTTAACGGTTGATTTTAAGTAAATCAAATAACAAGACTCAATAAATGTTGTGTATTTCTTTTTTTAATTTCATTTTCATTTGACTAATTTGAGCTTTAAAACAAATAGTTATTTAATTTTTTTACATTTTTTTTAATTTAAAAAAAATTTATTAAACAACTTAATTAGTCTTAATTTTAGCAAAGTTTTTCTTGTTTAGAATGTTTAGTTTTTAATTAATATCATTTCGTTTTAGTTTTTTGTTGAGTAAATTATAAAATTGTCTGTTTTTCCATAAATCATATTTATTTCGTTTTAGAAAAATATTTGTCCAATAATGCTTGAGAAAAAGTATAAAATGAAAAAGTAAATAGAGAAATAGTTGCAGTCACATCGTCGTAATCGTACTACTTACCGAATGAGTAGTTTGTCTCTGGCAATTTGTTGCTTTTACAAAGTGCCTGTAATTGTGGCAATTATATTTGTTGTGTCTGTGTCTATTAATCTGGGCATTTGTTTTTACACTTTTAAAAATTAAAATATTTTAAGTAATTACTTTTAAATAATCTAAAAAACTGTTTTAAAATTAATTAAAAAATTTATTACAAATTTAAAGGTGGTTATTATAAGATAAATGTGTAATAAATTAAAACCAGTTTTAAAAAATGAATTATTTCGAAATACGTAGAAATTTATTTTCAAAGTATTTCCCTTTAATTAAAAAAACATTTAAGTTGGAAAAGATAATTTAACACTTTAAAATACTAATTAAATAAAGTTATTTAAATAATCCTAATTTTCTTTGTTCATATTTTCTTCAGTGTTCTTCTTTTTTCTCTATTATATAAAATTCATGTGACACGATCTTCAAGTAATTAGTTTCATATTTTCATCAAGTATTCTGGTGCAGTATCTTTGTACTCGCTCGTATGCATGACAATGTGACTGCAATCAAAAATAATTAAATTTTTTTGTTGACAGAAAATGTAAAACGAAATACAAATAAAAATGTCTTAGATTATTTAATAAAAATTTATTGATTTTTAACTTCCCTTTAAAGCGAAAAAAATTATTAAATACGGGCTGGAATTTTTTAATTAAATACATTATGAATATGTCCAAAATTAGTCATAAAAATGAAAATAGTACATTTTATTTTATATATATTTTTTTAATTTCGAAACGGATAGACGACGCGCTATGGTACGGACCACACTATAAACTAAAGGCTAGATTGTGAAGTAGAGAATAGACTAGACTGAATATAAGTTGATTGATTTAACTATAGATTTGGTTGATAAGATTATGGACTAGGCTATAGATTATTTCAAGAATTAGTGAAGGAATTATTATGACTAGACTATGACTAGACTATAACTAGACTATGACTAGACTATGACTAGACTATGACTAGACTATGACTAGACTATGACTAGACTATGACTAGACTATGACTAGACTATGACTAGACTATGACTAGACTATGACTAGACTATGACTAGACTATGACTAGACTATGACTAGACTATGACTAGACTATGACTAGACTATGACTAGACTATGACTAGACTATGACTAGACTATGACTAGACTATGACTAGACTATGACTAGACTATGACTAGACTATGACTAGACTATGACTAGACTATGACTAGACTATGACTAGACTATGACTAGACTATGACTAGACTATGACTAGACTATGACTAGACTATGACTAGACTATGACTAGACTATGACTAGACTATGACTAGACTATGACTAGACTATGACTAGACTATGACTAGACTATGACTAGACTATGACTAGACTATGACTAGACTATGACTAGACTATGACTAGACTATGACTAGACTATGACTAGACTATGACTAGACTATGACTAGACTATGACTAGACTATGACTAGACTATGACTAGACTATGACTAGACTATGACTAGACTATGACTAGACTATGACTAGACTATGACTAGACTATGACTAGACTATGACTAGACTATGACTAGACTATGACTAGACTATGACTAGACTATGACTAGACTATGACTAGACTATGACTAGACTATGACTAGACTATGACTAGACTATGACTAGACTATGACTAGACTATGACTAGACTATGACTAGACTATGACTAGACTATGACTAGACTATGACTAGACTATGACTAGACTACGACTAGACTACGACTAGACTATGACTAGACTATGACTAGACTATGACTAGACTATGACTAGACTATGACTAGACCAGTCATAAACGTTAGAATGGACTAGGAAATGTTGGTAATTGAACTGTGTTGTTGGCTTTTAAGAGCTTTCATTTGTTTTACATATTTTTAAGAAACACCCTTTCGATCGCTGTTTCAAATGAGTTTATTTAAACTTTTTTTCATACTTTCAGTCTGAATGTTTTGTAATGTATTTCTGGCTTAGACATAAAACCAGATCTACTTTTCCTTTTTTTCGCTAAATGTTCATACATTTATTTACATTTGCTTTTGTATGTTTATTAGTTTACGACTATTTGTCTGTCTGTCCATCCATCTGTTAGGTGAGCTCGTAAGGCACCTTATTTTATTATTTACTACTTTTATATTGCCTATGACGAAATGTGTTGTATCTATCTAACTATTTTATTACCAGCAATTTTTTTATTGGTAAAAATCACTGCAAATCATTTGGTGTTTTTCCAGCTTGTTGCTGTTTTCAGAAAACTTCTTACGTGTACATGAATAATATGAATCGGTTCAAGGTTTATCTTGCCAACTTTTAATGTTTTCCAATTTTTCTAGACTTTTTTGTTGTATTTTTTTTTTTTTTTGAGCCTACTGACTCTGTAATAATAAAACAACTACAGAAAACAACAACAATAATAACAACAGCAGCCAACATTCAACAAGTTTTAAATCAAAAGATTTTTTAAATTTATCTGTAATAAAAAATATATAAATTGTTTAATCAAAGTTTTTAAGTAGAGAAATAATCAAATTTATTGGTTAGGGGCGAAAGGTAATTCTCAATTTGGAGAATAAACGAAACTGAGTCGTTTAATGGAAAATATCTTAGAATTAGTCACTCTATGGACTTTTATGGACATTTTATGGCTTTGTTTGTAATTCTAAAGACTGATCAAACAAATTGTTAAAATAAATATTAATAAATTTTTAATAAAATTTTTTTCTTAATTTAATTTAAATAAATATTTATATATAAAATTAAATTGTATTAAAAGTGTTAGATTTAATCATCGTTAATCATTTCTTTAAACTGAAAAAATGCATTAAAATTCAGTTCTCAATGGTTTATGGCTTGTTGAAATGTCTGTAGTTATAATTTGCATAAAATTTATCTACTCGCAATAATTATAAATTTAACAGTCAATATTTTTGCATAAGTGGCATTTCAAATGGCTGCCATTAGAAAAATAAACTGCATTACTGTAATATAAAAAAAATAATGTAAATGACAAAAAAATAAACAACCGAAACGAAACTCATAGAATTAGATTCCTAAATTGGTTTTCAAACTTAAGAGAATCAAAAAAATAAACAAATAAATTAAAATTAATAAAAACTGTTTGGCCTCAACAACGAAATCCGCAGTCGAGCTTAAAATTATATATTAAAAGTTCAAACAGTAAAAATTTAAAACTAATAATTTTAAATTTTTTTTATAAAAACAAATAAAAATAACTAACAACAAATAAAATTTTATAAATATTGGCCACATAAATACTTCTTATATAAAAATATTAAAAATATTTACAAAAAAAACTAAATTTATTTGAAATTTTTGCAATTTAAATCTTAAATTTATAACTTATTTTGTCTTATTTTTTTACACTTGCAGTTTATGGCAAACGTGTTATAGCCCGCTCTTGTTTCTATGAGGACGTCGATGATCCCGCTGATAAATGTGCCCGTGATACCACTTCTTCTTACATCAAGACAGTGTTTTGTCAAACCTGTAGTTCTGATGGCTGCAATGGTGTCTCCGGTCTAGTTCCCTATGCAACATTACTTCTGGCATCTACATTTATAATAAAATTATTTAAATAAAATTTAGTTTAAACACTTGTGCTGGAGTACGAAGCTTAATGTTTTTTTTTTTATTATTTTAAACTTAGTTTAACTTAAACTCATAACATTTAATTTAAAGAAGTTTTAGTTATGTAATGTATTTGAGCTAATTTTAAAGTTTGATTTAAGCAAATTGTAAAAGAATTAATTTTTTTATATAATTTTGTAATAGTTAATATACATATTTGCTTTAATTAATTTAATTTAAAATTAAAATAACAATATTGTTTTCATATTTCCATCCAAATCTTTTCTTGTGTTAGTTAATAAAAAGTTAAGCAATTCTTCTTAAAATGTTTCGAAAATAATATTTGAAAGAAAATTTTCAAATTTATAATCGTGTATTCAAATATTAAGCGAAACTGTTTACCTTTCACCAGCTAAATCTCTAGTTCCACACCTGCAGTAGGAGGATAAGAATAAATTAAAAATCAATTGGCCTATTAACATAAATAATTAGATCTTATGATTTGCAGATGTAAATTCTCTTGTCATTTCCAATAGCTACCAAATTCGTAGAGGCGATATCAGATCCAAATTCTGCAGGTTAACAAAGAATTGTTATATTTCTATATATATATAAATATTCAGATCTTTATAATAAATGTCATGTTTATCAAAACTATTTTCATTTAATATTTTTTGTTTAATTTTAAAGCTTTAGTAATAATATTTATGTTTTAAAGTTAAAACAAACGGTAAAGTTGTAAGAATAAATCACTTCATTTACTATACATATTTAGATTAAAAACTCACTACATAAAATATTAAACAAATAACACAGTGCCACAAAAGAAAATAGTTTCACTGGATGTTTGATTTTAAAATTATTAATTTCGTAAAAAATTAATTTTCAACACTTACATTCATTCATTCTATTAACATGAAACTAATTATTAAAATTTGTTTCACTGTAGCACTGTGTGCAAATATAAGAATAATCATTTAATTAGCACTTTTTGTAGTTTAAGAAGGGGCCTTTTCAGAAATGCATAACTGCACTGTTTCTAATGATAAGTTTGTGATGCTGATGCAAATCAACTGATGGTCATTTTATGAATTTTAAAATGTAAAAAAGTTCTTTAAATGAATTATGAATCTGAAATTTCTGTGATGCATTTCAGAACGTACTCAACATCAGACACAGTGCAGTAGTCATATTTCGCAACAGGTCCAAGTATTAATTTATTATTTTTTGTAAATTTTCGAAAAAAAAAGAACAATTCTATAAGCAAACACATTTATACAAATTGAAGCAAATTAATGCTGAATCTTAAAACAATCATTTGTAAATTTTTTAAAATGTATTTTATTTTATAAAAAGTTCAATAAAAAGGAAATTAAAAAAACTAATATTTGTTTTAATTTATTAAAAAAATTCATTTAAAAACATGAACAGTAAAAAATGTTTAAATTTGATCTGAAATTCACTCAGATTTTTTTGCATTTTTCATACAATTCGTGTAACGAAACATGACGTTAAGTAAGTACAAATATAATTAAGTATTTTGTTATATCTGCAATAAACAAACAAATTTTAAGTTTTTAGTGAAAAGTTTAATTTTTTTAGTGAAAATAATTGATGTTTTTAGGAGAAAAATTTAATTTTTGTTAAAAAATGTTTAAGTAAAAAAGGAAAAACTTCGGTGTTTTTGTGTAATATCGCTTTTTTAGTGGAAAATTTTTAGCCCAGGAAAAACTTAAATTGAAAAGTAAAGAGTTAATATGTTAATAAAACCTTTTTCACTACTTCTTCATTAGCATTTTAACTCATTATTGTAACATGGTGATGACATTGGAGGCAAGTACTTCCACGCTCTCTTACAAATAGAGAGTTAAAGAAGTACATGCAATTTCGCTTACATATAAGTTGTAAAGTAAGTTGTTTTGTTTTTAATAATAATAATAAGTGGGAGACTCAAATCCGCATGTTTTTAATGCTCATAAAATTCGGCATAAACAAGTTTTATCGGTCCATAATTTACCCTACGCCCCATATAAATCCCCACTCTGAAAATTACTTTAACGTTCTTTTTAGGAACCTAAATTTCTTTATCTATTTTTAAAACGATCGGTCTATAATTGACGTATAAAAGGTTCCTTCAGAAAATTACTTTAGCGGTCATACCTGTCCTTAAAAAAGCATATATAGCAATGGAATTCGACATAAGCAAGCTTTATTGTAGCCAAATTATTTTATAAAATTTTATGAGGATCGTTCCATAATTGACCCTATACACGAATAGAAAATACCCTCAGAACATGACTTTAACGATCATAATTGGTTTAAAAATAGCAGCATAGAGATAAAATACGCCATGAACTAGTTTGATATGAACTAAAATGGAGACCAAGAGATATTGGAGCCCTCATATAAGGTCCCCTTTTAGAAATGATATAAACACTGATGGATAGCAATGAAATTGGACAAAACAAGTTTTATTGAAACCAAATTCTTTGTCATATTTTATGAGGATCGGCCAATAAGACCCTTATCATACATATTATATAACTCTTTTTAGAGATAATTAACTTATACTCAAAAATCTGTTTAAATATGATCATAAATTTAGAATAAATTTAATAAAGAAGTAAATTATGGTTACAAATAAGAAAAGAATCAATTCATATCATTATTTGAAATTGGCAGATCTCGGTCAATAATTGACCCAAGCCTTTATTTTTATAAAGTATCGACAATATACATGTGATCCATGATTTGATGGTGGGTATATAAGATTCGACATAGCCGAATATAACACTCTTACTTGATAAACTTTATTGTTCAATAACTAAAATAACTGAAAAACATAAAAAATCCCAACATCCCAAATCGTAAAGCTTTTAATATTTCTAGAATCAATTGTGCTTTTAAATGTACAAATACATACATCTTCGTGTTTTTAAGCAATATATAAAAAGTGAGCGGAACTTGCAGTTGGTAGGATGAATAAAAGTTCAAATTTAACAATAAAATCTTTCCCAGAACAACTAATTAAACTAGTATCATAATAATTTCTAAAAAAAATCTTACTTACGTTTTCTTGATTAATTAATACTCTTAAAACTTATAGTTGTTGCAGTGTATAATTAAACATTAATTTTGATTAAAAACGAACGCAAAATTCAGTAATTAGTTTCAGTTTTCATTTTATGTATGCGTTTGTCAGTTTTCCTTTTAATTTCAATTGTCTTCCCTCAGCTTGCTTACATCCGCTGACAATGACTTTGTGCTTATTTTATGCGAATTGGTTGAACTGTAGTAATTATTGTTCTGATTCTGAGTTTTATTTTTTATAACAGATTTCCCAGACAATATGGGGGATCGTAAAAGAAAGAGACAACAATAACGGAAATATTTAAATTACTAATAAAATATTTATGCTTTATGCGGTTAAAATTAATATGGAAAACATTTTTAAATCTTATAATATTCAGGCCTGTCACAGCAATCCATGCCGATAGAAAGTGGAATTGTTTTCTTCAGAAAAAGTAAAACGACGACTTAAATGTTTAAATTGGTGTTGTAAGTTGTTGGTAATTATGATTTTTTAAAGTTTTAAATTCGGTCGGAATATAATTCTGTTACAGGTCTGATTAATTCTGTTGATGAATGTACAAAAAAAATAAACAATTGTATTATGTCAACCACGCAAAATAAAAAAAAATTGCAATATTTAGAGTAGTAAATAAGTTTAGTGACTAAAACACTCACAGAAAAATATTTGTAAAAATTTATGAAAAATAACATCAGACTTTTTTTTACTGGATGTTAAAGTTTTAAATTAGAAATATGTTAGTATTTTAATAAAAAATAAAATATGGCTTAAAGTAAAACTATTTACCAACTTTTTCCTTGAGTTTAAAAACTCACATAACCACTGCAGAATAAAGCTTTTTATGACATTTTTGTTCATTTAACAAATATTACTTCTGTTTGTAATTGTTGTAGTTTGTTTGAAAAATTCATTGTTAATTTTATTTTATTTGTGTAGAGTCAGTTCAGTTCAGTCATTTAGCTCCAGGGTAAAATTTGTATGTGCATATGTTCTTTTATCAAACTAAATCGGTGGCTTTAATTAATTCACAAGCCGCTTTTACAGATTGATTGAGTCCCTCTCTACCCCCACCCAAAAAAAAACATTTGTTTAGTTTGTTGACTAGCACTGACAGTGACATTCTAATTTAACAATTTTCATAAGGAAAAACTTTGAAAAAAATACAATTTTGAAATAAAAAAATTTTGCTTTGATTTTTTTTTTTTTTTTTCAAAATACATAATTAATTTTTTTGATTAGTTCCATAAAACAAGTAAAAGAAATATAAAAATATGCTAAAAATTTTATGATAAATATTTGTCGTTTTGCCAAACAAATTTGTCTTGTGATTTGCAAAGTAAAATGTCTCGTTAATTACGACTCTTATTTGGCAACCAGTCATTTGATTTGCGAAATTCAGTAGTATGTAAAAAATTATGCACTTAAAAAATTATATACATACATACACGTGCCTATAAAAACTATAGGGAGTCTTTTAATCAATAATAAATAAAAATTTTCTCAATGAAAAACCTAACTTTTCCAGGAATTTTTTAATTTTTTTTTTTTTTAATTAAAATTATTTTGCCATTAAAATCTTATTCTATATAGTTTGTAAAAACACATTTTATAATGTTTTGAAGTACTTGCCAAAATGTATTTACAAGTTTTTGCAAAGGTGTTTTTCTTAATATCAAATTTAAAATTGAAACGCACTTAACACTATTTATTTTTTAATTTTTACTTTAAACTTTAAAATCTGTCAAACACATTTTAAATGCCCAGACATGCAACCAGTAATTAACCCTTAAATGACAGCACACTTAAAAATATTGTGAAAAGAAAATATTTCAGTCAAGAGTTATTAAAAACTTCCAAAAATGATTGCGTTAAAACTAGCACTTAAACAAGACAAGTGGACAATTTGGGACAAAGTCGAATTGGAAGTACCCTATTCTTATGGAAAATCAAGTACACCGTCCTCCATACAAACTGAAATCCTATTTCAACACATTTCCTGTAGATAGAGTTTTTTTCACTAATAATCTAAATATAAATGAGAGTTATGTCAGCTTTTATTAATTAGCAAAGTCCTATGTAATGAAATATGACAAAAGTTCAGTTCAGCCATTGCTCGCTAAAGCTACTTTTACACTATACCACAAGTAATATGATCTGTCAAAGTATTATGTATAAGGGTGGGATAGTCTAAACGCAACGTGTAAGGAAACCATTACACATTAAGAGAAAATATGAATGAAAAATTTGACAGTCGTATGGTTCTCTTCATTTTTTGAAATGATTCAAAAACGATGCGATAAGCATGCATTTGATCAGAGATGTAGTTTTATGTAAACACATACAAAAACGGAACAGCTGTTTCCATTCTACTTTGTTTTTGTGTTATACTAATAGTGTAAATCATACGACTTTTTATTCTCTTTACTAAATTATGGATGTAATTTCATTTGATTTTCCATACGTAAAGTCTTATAGTCTAAAGGGCACTTAAAAAGGAATCAGTTGCATTCGGTACAGGTATGCTGAGATGGACATTCTTCAAAATATTGTCAAAATTGTACCTGTACCGACTATAAAAATCATTAAAAGTAATAAATGATTACAACGACTTCTCATGGGATGGATCTGTTTTGTTAAAATTCTATTAAATACTTTTTAAATGACAAGAACAATAACAGAACAAACATTAATTATTTTCGGACTAGTACAATATTATGTTCGGTTTCTGATTTCATTTAGTTTCTTTTAACTCATACAACTCAAACCTGTATAAAGACCAAATTGCAACCACTTCGATCAACTAAATTATTTGCGCTCATTATCGTAGTGATGAAAAATGAATTACTTAAACACATGTCGTTATCTCTCTCGCCTTAAACTCTGTGATATGTGTCATTTTTGTTAATCTTGGCTTTAAAATCTCGTTAGCCATTTTATTTTTTTCTAATTTCAATTTTTCCAATAAAATTTGTTTAATATTTTGAGAACAAATAAAAAAATGCGTGTGTGACGGACACACGATTGCCAATAGAAAAAAATCGTTAGAAACATATTGACAATCATACCCCTAGTTACATACAAAAAAACACAGCAAAGTGTTGCATAAAAAGACGCAAACAAAATTCTAATGCAGTTTTGATTTTCAAACAGAATGTTAAGATTTGCATATTAACAAAAAAAAAAAAAAAATCAAATTTAAAATGTGTGTTACTAGTAGTGTGCGTTTTTATTAATTTTGGTAAGAAAAAATGGCAACAAAACAAAAAAAATTACACACGTAAAAAATATTA